CGAAAGGGGACACGCATCTTCAAGAGACTCGTTGAGAGAGCTGTTGTATTTTTTTATACGATGAATGTGAATTGAAATTTATATAGCCTATTCAAAATAATCCACGCTATTTGTTTCATCTTCTTTGGTCTGTGAAACTAAAAGCGTAGATGACACTCTTGAAGTGTCTGTTTATGTGCGTGCAATCATATCTCTGTTGATTTCAGAAAACACACTCGGCTAATTTGCGCTGATTTGTAGCATCTGATCTTGAGGTGTGTATATTTTTCCTTTTTTTGGCTTTATTTTGAAAACGTATCACACACATACTCACATAGGCCTTCTTTTAGCCTATATGGGGACTCTCCATAAGCAAAATGGTTTTTATAACTATATCCTCTTTCTCTAAACCTACTCATCACGGAAAATTTTTGAATAAAAAAAAGCTTTAGTATGTTTTGTTTACGAGGACACAGCAGGAACCATGTTTACGTTGGAATACCCATGTCATTTTAGACATTTGTGTCCTCATAAACCATATTTACAAGAATACGCACATTCGTCCTCATCTGTTCTCCAGTATTTGCCTTCACCTCTGTGCACAGAGGGCAGGTGGAGTAAAGTGAAAGAGTCTGTGAGCCTTAACAAGCTCCAAATAGAAAAAGAACATCATTTTCATTAGGCTGCCAGACAAAGGCAGAGGCCCCCATGTTTTTGGGGAGGGCTGCTGTGTGTGTTTGTGTGTGTGTGTGTGTTTGCTTGGGATATGCCTCTTAAGCGAGAGCGTGCATATGATTGTGAGAGACTGTGTGTGTGCGAGTGTTTTTCAGGGACTGTCCTCTTTCCTGGCTGCTTTGTCTCAATTGGTATTGTGTGCTGCTTAGAGAAAGGACTTCCTGGTCAATAGGGAGTAGAGTACCATGAACTCGACAACTCCCAAAACACACACACACACACACACTCTCTCAGCAGGCCGGAGAGCAGATAGAGAGAGATGACAGGATGGTGCATTTGTGAGGACTTGTTGCTAGGTGACTGACAGACAAATGCTCAAGTCAGGGCCTGTTTTTTTTAAAGCTTAAGTCTATCTTTCTGAAATGTTTTGACTGACTTGAATAGATTCACAGGAAAACATGTAAGCTAGAAGCACGTCCTGATTTTGCAGATGCATTTCATGTTGATCCTGGAATTACATTCCTGTCCGAAATTTTTATCATAACCATATCCACTTAAATCTAAACTTACCCATGACTTATCCCTAAAATCAGAGGGAAATGATGGATGAAAACGTCCATAGTATTTTCTTTTTCCCACTATGGAAGTCAATAGGCTACCATCGACTTTTTGGTTACCCACATTCTTTAAAATATCTTCTTTTGTGTTCAACAGAAGAAAGGTTTGGATCAACATGAGGGTGAGTAAATTATAACAGAATATTCATTTTGGGGTAAACCATGCCTTTAAAGGGTTAGTTCACCCAAAAATGAAAATTCTGTCAGTATTTACCCTCATGTTGTTCCAACCTCGTAAGACCTTCGTTCATCTTCGGAACACAAATTAAGATATTTTTGATGAAATCTGAGAGCTGGATCATACTAGTCCATAGGCTTCTTGAGGGATTGAAACTTGCTGGCCTCGAAAAGTTATTAAAGACATCGTTAAAATAGTCCATGTGACTACAGTGGCTCAATCTTAACTTTATCAAGCGACAAAAATACTTTTTGTGTGCAAAAAAACAACAAAATAACGAGTTTATTTCAACTATTCATTTACTTTTCTCTCTGCCTCAAGTCAGGTTACTTAGTTTAATAGCGCATGATCTGTTGTTGTACGTCACACGCATCACACACATGACCAGCATCGGCCAATAGTGAGCCTACGTGTGACGTAGCTCTACGCTATCACACGACGTTAACAGACTAGTCCTACAGAGAAAGAAGTGAAAAGTTGAAATAAAGTCTTTATTTTTGTTTGGTTTTGCATGCAAAAAGTATTCTCGTCGAAATATCTTAATTTGTGTTTCAAAGATTAACGAAGGTCTTACAGGGTTGGAACAACATGAGGGTGAGTAAATACTGAAAGAATTTTAATTTTGGGGGGAACTAACCCTTTAAGTGATTCCTGAAATTTTAAAAAATAACCCTGTAACAGATGGCATTGTCTTTTTAGCTGATTGGATAAAGGGATTGACTTGTATTTCTTTACGAGGATAAATTGTCTTGGACAAATTCACTACATTAAAGATCACCCCTCTCTTTAACAGAAGAGATACTGAGAGTGAGACAGAGAAAAGATAGAACTTGTACATTGTTCTCTTGCTGCAGGGCTTAAGGCTTGATCTCAGGTTTATGAGTCACTCTCTGCATGAGTATCACAGCACAACTCTCAGAGGACACACAGCAGACGATCAGAAGACCTAGTGTAGCCAGACACCACATTTACTCACTACTGTGTTTGTGTGTCCCTGCTGGGAGTCAAAGTGAGATGAGTCTCTGCTGTCACTAGCTGTCAGAATCACTGCATCAGACGCCACACACATGGAAATAGTTTCTTTAGAGATGTGACCTGTTTCTCAGTGTCTCTTCTCCTTTAGCTCAATAACACACACAACTTGGACACATACCTGTCACCAATGACCACTGAATGATCTGCCTTAAATCTGTAACGCTCTCCAATGCACAAACATGCAGTTTCCCGATCTTTATCATGAAAATCAAAAGTGTCAGTTTGGCATTTGACATACGCCCCAAGTAGAGAGATCACGCCTAGCCGTAAACATCCTACTGACACACACACACACACACGGCTGACCTTGTCATCCTCACGCACACATTGCTGCTGTCTGCCTGTAAGCTGTGTAGCTGAGCTCATTCAACAGCTGAAAGCCTCTTCATCCAGTCTCAGAAGCGGTGGAGATTATTTATTTCTGATTCTGATTATTTAAAAGCACAACAGCATCAGACATCCATAAAAATCCTTTATTTTAGAGATTAGAGAAATGACTTGTCTGCATGCTTCTGGATAGTCTTCCATCTTCCATCGTTTTGGACAACGTGTGAATGTTTTCCATGTCAAAAGGTCATTTCTCTTTTCTCATATTATTATTATGAGAAAAGCTATGGTGGCTTTATTTCTCATTTTAAACTAAACTTACAAATAAACATTGTTTATTTTATCATATATCATATATATATATATATATAGCCTATTGTATATAGGCCTATATATACTTTTTTTTTTACTTTGGAAATGGGCACAGAAACAGACCAATAATAGGCAGGTGTAGGGAGAAAACGTACTGTAAAAAGTATTGTAATTTTAACTGTAAAATACTGTAAATTTGAACAGTTATAACCAGTTAATTGGTTAACAGCAAGTCCCTCTACTATATACAGAGAACATTTTAATGTACTTTTACATTTAAATACTGTTAAATGTACCATTTTTGAGTAAAAAGAACAAATCAACTCTGTATCGTTTACAGTGAAAAGCCAAACTGACACTCCCCAAATTCCCAGACACTTTACATTTGATGGATTTTTTTAATCAGCTTATGTACATTAGAGTTTTATGTTATATCTTATGTTGTTAAAATAATGTTTATCACATTATTTTAGTGTCTTTTTTATTTGTTATGATGGTGTTTTGTATTAGTGTAAATGACACCAGAGGCCCCTTTTATATATATTTGAGCCTGTGCGGAAAAGCTATCTTGTGATGAATTTAGATTTACCATGTGGCTTTAACACCAATTTTTATTGTCACGGTGTGGGTTTTGTGTCTTGTTCCTTGTTCTTGTCTGTTACGTGAATCTCTGTTTGTCATGTGATCCTGCCATGCGTCTTGTCTTTTGTTAATTGTTTCCTCAGTGTCCACAGGTGTTCCTTGTCTTGGTTATTAGTCTCCCTTAGTGTCTCGGATTTACCACGTATACCTTGTATAGCGTGTCTGCTTGTGTATTTAAACATCTGTTTCAGTTATGGTTTGTCGGTCGTTGTTGTTTGTAACTGTTTCTTGCTCCTGTCCTGGGTTCATGTTCTGTTGTTTTGCCCTGGATTACCTCGTCTATTAAATTAATGCTTGCACTTGGATTCTCTCCGCTTCACTCATGCCTCAACGTTACAGTTATTATGGTTATGTCAGTATGCTGTTGTATTTATTTTAATTTACAGTTTTAAATTGTACAATTTGCAGGCTCTGTTAATATATTAGCATTTGTACTGAATTATTCTGCCAATTTTTTTCTGTAAAAATGACAGATTTTTTTTACAGTTTATATTAATGTTGTAGCGGTCTCTGTGAACAGAAGACATCTGAAAAAAATCTGAAAATGAATACATGAGACTTTACATTGTAGCTTAAAATATCAAGAAAGTGCTTTCTAGTTTTGTGTGGCAGAGGATCTTTGATGGCAGAGGATTTGGTGCGCCACAGATCCTGAGCGGCTGACAAATATCTTGTAAAATGTGCTCTCAGTCCCTCTGCTCCCCATAGAGTAGCCTATGCTGATTGCAAATTCGAAATGAAAGTGAAAAGAGAGCATTTAAACGTCTATTTACACTCTCAGAAAAAAAAGTACAAAAGGTGTCAGTGGGGTCCTATAGTAGGCTATGGACCTTGTTCACAACAGCGCCATCTTTGATTATTAACGGGAATGAAAGCGAGGCTGTGAGGGATAGACATGCATCTCTTCGGTGGGTTGTACTGGTTGACGAAACACAGCAAAAATATCTTTCCAAGAAATTTGGAAATCTGGAAGCTTTATACAGAAGTCTTTGAAACACAGCAAGTCTATCCCTCACAGCCTTGCTTTCATACCTGTCATGGCGCTGCCCTGAATAAGGTCTATACGGTATATACCCTTTCAAAAGGTAGTACCTCAAAAGTACCGTCCCAGTGACTGCTTTTGTACCATTTTTTTTTTGGAGAGCATAGCATTTCCCTAATGCTATGCTATATACACAGAGTAGCGATTGATATAAGCTTCATATCAGACTGAACAGACTCCGCAGACTATCTGAAGCGTGATCAGGATTACAGTAAAACAGTTTGTTTTTGGGATCTTCGACAAAGGTATATGACATTAAAATGACACTCAGCTCTGACAATTAGCTGTTTTTTTGTCCCTCTTTTTCAGATTTTATGGCAATGCGTGTTGTGATTAATAAGCAAATTCTTCATAAATGTATTGTTGGGAGATTATTAGCTTATCTAAAATAATTAACTTCATCAAATCATTAAATTTAGTCCATTGGGATTGTGAAGGAAAAACGGTAAACATATGAGGACCACATAACTCACCATAATTTGTACAAGCGTTGTGACTGAGCAGTGGTTTTCAGATCAGGGGTAAGTGGTGTGTCTAGTTGCTAGGTAACAGTTAATGTAGACCAAAAATGGCTGTCTCATTTGTGTCTTTGATGGACTAGATGTTACATTGTAGGGTTTAAAAGCCAAGGGTTGTTGTTTTGTTGGTGTTCAATTTATGTCATGCAAATCAAAATGATAATAGAGGCATTCCAGTATTAGTTGCTAACATGTGTGCTGCTGTTTGTGACACTTTGTTTGCACTCGGACTACACATGGAGGTGTAGATTTCATGTCTACATTTTGGGTTGGTTTGTTTGAGAAAAAGAAAATAAATGAGGAGGTACAGATTTAATTTTGCAATGTCACCTGACGCAATGTATTTGACAGCATAATGTGAAAAGTGATATGACAAACTGAATGATAAAGAAATAACCCAAATGTCTGATGGATCCTGTTGTGTTGGGAAATAGATGTCGCTTATCCCTGTCCTGCTGCTGGATAACAGAGAGAGGGAGCAGGATAAGCCAGAAGGGTCATAGGATAAGAGGTCTTCTCTGTTACCACAAATCCCAGATTACATCCAAATGGGACAATGCCATGGCTGGACACCGATCTGTCATGAAGACCGGCCCACACACACTCACAGAGGTCTGTAACTCATCTGGTTTGGCAATGTACTAAGCAAGCAAAGACTTTATTTAATTGAATCTCTCGTTCGTTTGCTATTATCTGGGCCAGTGGAGTATTAGCAATCCACTTCAGCTCTGCCCGACATGATATCTTAATTAGAACGTAAATCCCTATAGGAGTCATCCAGCGTTCGGCCTCAACCAGCTGAGAGGACAACAAAGCGGATGGCATCTCTCAAAAGTGTGTGCACTCTGTCTAAAAGAAACCGCTGGGTTGACAGAGGGAACATGCTTTCAAAAGCCCTCTGGTATGTAGAACAACAGTTTATGGTTGGAAAGATTTATGCAATGTTTTTGAAAGAATTCTTTCAAAAACATTGCATAAAAAGGTTGCATTACAGTAAAAAAAAACCTAAGTAGGCCTAACTGTTTTCTATTTTATAAATATCTTGTAAAATGTCATTTAGTCCTGTGATGGCAAATCTGAATTTTCAGCATTACTCCAGTCTTCAGTGTCACTTTAGAAATCATTCTAATATGCTGATTTGATGCTCAAGAATTATTGATTATCAATGTTGAAAATGGTTATGCTCCTCAATATTTTTGTGGAAACCATGATAAATTATTTTCATGATTGATAAATAGAAAATTGTACTAACCCATAACACGCAATGGTCGTGTCTGTGTTTGAATCAATAGTTGTTCCCTCCAGAGCAGATACTTCTTAAATGAGGAACAGAGTTTTGCTCGGCGATGCAATGGGCTCAAACGGCCTTTGCCTGCTTCAGGTACAGTTGTAAAATGCTATAATTTTTGCCATTTGTTCAATTTATAAATTGTATCCATGACACAGATGACGATGCACTCTGTGTAATGGCATTACAAATCATGGTTGCACTTATTAATTAAGCCACTGTACATGAAAAGATAGCAACATTTGTGGTTTCACAGACTGCCACAATAGCCTGATGCATATTCAGGTAATTTCATTATATATATATATATAGCCTATAATATTCCTGTTTTTAATTATTCCTGTATCTAGAAAATGGTGTTAACTCCAAGTTCATGGATTTGATCCTCAGAGAACAATACATATAATGATGATGATGTCCTATGCATTGAAAGTGCACTGGATTAAAGCATCTGCTAAATGCAGACATGGCTTTATATTAGGACATTCAAGATGTTCTTTATTAATGTGGAGGTTAAGAATTGAAATACTTTATGATTTTTGAAGCCTGATTAATGTGTGTCTTTATGTGTTGTTTCACAGGACAAGCAAGTAACTGAACTCTTTGTATGAGTGTCACTCCTTATCTTTATCCTCTCTCTCTCTCTCTCTCTCTCTCTCTCTCTCTCTCTCTCTCTCTCTCTCTCTCTCTCTCTCTCTCTTTCTTTCTTTCTCTCTCAGTCGTTCAGTGATAGCGGTGTCAGGCATTATATGCGTGCAATCCGTATTATTCAGCTCGTGCGCGCTCCATCCGCGGGCTCGCGCTTTGACGTGACGCAGTGTCATTTCGCCACTGAAGTTACGGAGCACAAGCAAAGATTAAGCGGAACAAACGATTCTCCTCATTTTATTTGCGCGATAAATACCAACGTGTCTCGTTTTTTTTTTTTTTAGTAGGGCCATAGTAGTTGTTTAAAAACAATTTAGCCTGAATAGGCTATGAAATGACAGTTATTAAGAGTGATGACAGTTATTAAGAGAAAAAAAATCGACTTTCGCCGTCACAACGTCAATGTTTATAAAGTAATTTATTGACGAGAGTCGTCAAATGATATCAGAAGCCTAATTGGCTTTTTCTAATCAGAAGCCAAAAAAAATCCCTATATTTTGAAGTTACAGTAGGCCATGCAGCCTTTGTTTTATACTGTATCAAAATAGCCTAACTCTGAATATTTCAGCACTGCTTCTGACACATTGATAGCCTATTGTTTCCCCCTTTCCTAAAAAATGGCTCATATAGCCTACTTAAATAAATCGGAAATCCTTTGTTTTTGGTTATTTTACTGGTCAGCTGTAAAACCGTAATGAGATGAATTAGGCCTAAGTGGACGCTTTAATCGTCTTATCGTGTCTACCTCTCATTCTTATTTCCAACTGTCACGTCATTATTATTTGGTTTTAACCTGCTCAGGCCTATGGATAATCGATTTACTGTTGCCAAACACAAGACGATCCTCCGCCTAGATTTGGATATTTTTGCGTGTTCTATTATTGACAGTTTGTCATTCTGATGTGACTGTTTTCAATCGCTTTGTAACGAAGGGTTGACATGTGATAGGTTTAGTCTGTTAACAAAAAAATAAAATTTGAATTGCCGTTGAACTTTTTCCATAACTTCGAATATCACTTATGAAGAAAATCAAGTTTAAATCGTTTATAAATGACTTAATAGACGCATTGTGACAACAGAGCTGATAGCCAAGACGAACAATTTCATGCCTAAAACCCTGCCTGGATAATATAAAACATGCAAAAAGCACTTTCGGTTGAAGTTATGTGAAATTTCAGTGCCAATTCCGACAGACTGAACTTTTCCTCTGAAACAAGGCATGTCTTAATGAGACCGGACACTTTTAACCATCTATCACAAAACGAAGAGCGTGATAGCCTATTAAATCAGAGGACATACTGATAATTGAATCTATAGGCTACCTATCGACTTTATGTTATGGTTTGGGGTTGTGAGTTAGTCTTGCCGCACAAGATATGCTGTGCATGGTGCCAGTTCATGGGTATTTCGAGCATCACATGATGTGCCAACACAGTTCCTGGCGAGATTATTTTACCATGTTGTAATTTTACAGATGACAGCTTATACTGACAACTCATGCTCAACTATTTTTTATTCTTCTTCTGTGCATTTTTAAATTGAGATTCCTTGTTTTTGGGATAGTCTATATTTCGTGCTTCATGACATTTTTAGTTTATTGAGAAATCTTTTTTATTATTATTAATAAGTCTATACAGTGTTCTAAACACTAAGGTTCTAAATCTTGGAAACAGAAATGTTATGCGTTTCGTAAAAGCATTCATTCACGTTTTCGCTGAGAAAATCGTGCAAATAATTTGTAAGCAATCATTTTTATTCTTTATAGCCGCCTATGCTTTTCATAGAAAGTCTTTCTAATGTCTATTGTATTTTAACAGACACTCTTTCCCATCGTTTTATCGACAACTCAGAGGGGGTTGCTTCCAGATATCCACCAAACGACAACATTACATTTTGGCGTCTCTGAGCAGCACAAACGTAAAGGTCAAAATGACTCTTTGACGTTTTCACTGAAAGGCGCTGTCGCGCGCTGGGTGGTGCTGAAATCTAGTGCAGCTTCACGCGTGATTGGCAAACCTGACAGTGATTGACGTGTGTCCATGACAACCAGGCAGCCAATCTGACAACTCCGATAGAACAGAATAGCGGCAGCAGGGGCTAAATGTTCTTTTATTTTGCTCCTCAGAAAACACCTTGCTTACAGTTTTTTTTTATGCTCACACTCAATCAAAAAAGAGATTTTGCCGTCCAGGCTGCTTGAGCCTGCCGCACGGCATCGCTCTTCAGCTCGTTTTGTGACACGACTGTTAACTTTTGCCGTTTTCTGACAGACAGGCGAAACAAAAAGACGGGGGAGACAGACGAGAAGCAACATCCGAAAGGAGGGCCAAAGAAGAGAGAGATTACAGTCTCCATGTTCCAGCTGCCCATCTTGAATTTCAGCCCCCAGCAGGTCGCGGGGGTCTGCGAGACTCTCGAGGAGAGCGGCGACGTGGAGAGGCTCGGCCGCTTCCTCTGGTCACTCCCGGTGGCGCCGTCCGCCTGCGAAGTCCTCGGGAAGAACGAGTCTGTCCTGCGCGCGCGCGCGGTCGTGGCCTTTCACGCGGGCAACTTTCGCGAGCTCTACCACATACTGGAGAACCACAAATTCACAAAGGACTCACACGCGAAGCTGCAGGCGCTCTGGCTCGAGGCGCATTACCAGGAGGCGGAGAAACTCCGTGGGCGTCCGTTAGGACCCGTGGACAAGTACCGCGTCCGAAAGAAGTTTCCACTGCCTCGGACGATATGGGACGGTGAACAAAAAACACACTGCTTTAAGGAGAGGACGCGTCATCTGTTGAGAGAGTGGTACCTGCAGGACCCTTACCCGAACCCGAGCAAAAAAAGAGAGCTGGCGCAGGCGACTGGACTCACACCCACACAAGTGGGCAACTGGTTTAAAAACCGAAGGCAGAGAGACCGGGCGGCAGCGGCCAAGAACAGGTATTTAGTTCTCCTCTGAACTGGGATATTCGCTTTTATTATTAGCCTACTTTACTGTCATTATTTTTATTTCTATAAGAAATAAACATTAGATTTCGTTGGAGTTGCTTGCGCAATTTAACTTAAAATGAATGTCAAACTGGACAGTCGTCGGCAAAGCTGCTTTTGTTCACGTTACCAAAACGTGCTAATTATTTTATTATATCTCTGCTGATGCATGCTATTTCATGCCGGAATGGTTTATGACAATATAAATACTACATAATAGATATAACAAATAAAAATATATTTTCTCAAGAGTTATGAAGATGATAATGTGTCGGATCTGCTCCGACTTCCTCGGTTTATCAAATCGTTAAATTGACATGTTTTTAAATTCTGTAATTCAAGGTTGGTTTTTATGTGTGCATATATTTCTAGTTCGTTTTTTTTTTTTGCACTATAAGCAAATATGTTGCATATCTTTGTTTGAAAATAACATACACGATCCAAATTATATGATCAATAAGTTGACATGCTTTTCAACTTTTTAAAAAGTTATACAAGATACACACACTTTTTAAGTCAGTTCAAAGTAATTTAAGTTGAAATAAGTCAATTAAAAAGTAAATTAAGTTGAAGTTGATTATACTTAAAAATTTAAGGCAGCATACCCCCCCCCCCTTTTTTTACAGTATTGAAGTTGTGTTAATGCTTTAAGAAAAATCAGTAGGCTAGGCCTATTTGATAGTTCATGAAAATGCACTTACAACCTCTAATATTTTCGATCGCTTTAAGAGCATATCTTTGTCAAATGATTTTTGTAGTTTTCCACTCAAACAATTCAATCTGCATCAGATATCTGAAGACATTTTCATTCCACTATAAGCAACGAGTGTCTACGTATCCTCATTGACATTTTGTATGGTTGTCACCCCTGTAGGCTACAGCAGCAGGTTTTGTCCGGTGGCTCGGTCCGATCGCTGGGAGACGATGACACCACAGTAGACCGCCTGGGTCCCGCCTCAAGCCCAGAAGTCAGTCTCTCAAGCAAGGCGGCCATCTCCACCATCTCCATCACCTCCAGCGACAGTGAATGTGACATCTAACGTGACAGGCTTCAAAAGAGCAAACAGAAGAACTGTAAGAGACAATCTAACAACTACAAAAATTCAGTGCCTGCAACCGGCCCAAAGAGAGGCTAAAATGAAGGATGGAAAAATAGCGTCACACAACTTCATTTTTCAACCGTTGATGTGATGAATAAAATGCGCGGTAGGCCTACTTCTCAAGAAGACAGGTAAAAAGGGAGTTTTTGAAAGACAAAAAAAGAAAAAAAAAAGAAAAAAGAATGTTCAATATCGGACGGTCAAACCTATAGGCTATGTGTGCGTACATTATCATGAAAAGACTGAATAATGTTTTAATGTCCACTTGTCCTTTTTAATATATAAATGATGTTTATTTGATTATTTAAAATATCATCAGCCCCTAGTCCTTTTATTTGTGTGCTTTTTTTAAATCATTTTTGCTGTGCGTAATTCTGAGCGTTGTGAATGTGGAAAAAAATAACATGATTAAAAAAAATAAAATCACAGTTGAAATAAGTACTTCGCAATTTACCACACTTATTTTTTACGACACTTACTCCCGTGTGTTCAGTTACATAATTAATCAAATTGAACCATGTAGCAAAAATGTGTTATTTCATGTTTATTTTTAATATGACCATGTGTCAACCCGAAACTAACAATATGCAGTTTAAAATGTGAATGTCACATGCTGCAGAACAGATTTGGAACAGATGGGGATCAAATATGTTGCATGTTTTAATGCCTCTCTGCGAGCTCAATCTCTCTCACACTCGAGCGGTAATTGGCTAAAACGCTTGTCGTGGTGTAATGCGCTCTGACAGCACAGGGTCAGAGAAAGGCCGCGACGCTCTCCCCGATGTCAACACAACCGAGCTGTGATCTGCAGTTTAAATATAACCTATATGGCCCAAGCAAGCTTCATACAAATCATTTATCAAAGGAGTTTGGCACTGCTGCGAATTGCTGGAAATGTATTAATTGAATGTGATTTAGTAGCCTAATATTTCTAATAACTGTATCTTTCTTTAAATATGCGTCTTGGTGGCATTGTTCGGATGTAGCCTACATTTTCTTTAAATCTATAGGTTAATTCTTCGTTAATTCATCAAAATAAATTAAACAATCAACTTTTAGCTTATCAACTTTTATTTATAAGTTATACAAGATTCAACTAATTTTAAGTCAGTTGAAATTACTTAAATATCTAAGTTTATTGTATGCTAGCTACTTAAAAAAATTAAGGCATCAACTTAGAAAAATAATGATTTTTAAAAACTTATCAAATTTTCAAAAAGAATGGTTTGTCTTTGTCAAGTGCCAGAACTTAGCTATACAAAAAAGGAAAATGATGAAACGTTTATTAGCCTATTAGTATTTTTGGCCTATATCCTTCCAAATGATTCATATTTAGATGATAACAGTTTAGATGAAAAATAACTGTGTATTTGATTTTATTTTAAAAGCACTACGGCTCTGTTTTTAGTGCTAAAATATGCTGAAGATGTTTATGTCGTAGGCCAATTGAGTGAATGAGTGCCCGCAAAAACACAGCGCCTCTGTTTCCCAACTGCCTGAAGGGTTCACGGCGCGCACCTGGGTTTAACCCGCGCCATTCATTAACGCTCCCAATAAAAAGCACAAGCTGTATTTTTCAATCCTCTTTCAGTCTGAACAACGGCGGGGCCAAACCAAGTGTTCCTTCCGAGAAAAAGGACAAAATAGGAGCCAAAGCAAGGGAGGGGAAAGGAGCACGGCTTTATTTAAACACTGGATACAAAATGGTGGAGAATTTCCGTTTCTTTTGAGTATGGGGAGTGCAGGGTGGGACGATGAAAAAGTCTTTTTTAGCAGTCAATAAGGTTGTCAAATTGGTCAACGGTAATCAGCACTAATGACGAGTTGGAGAGGGCCGAGCTAACAAAGAAGCCCACCCCCCTCCCCAAACACCCCCGCCCCCAAACCTCAGCATGAAAACTCTCCGCCGGGGTTGCCAGAGGAACAGAAATCCAAACTTTTTTCATTTGTGTGAGTGTGTGACGTTCTGGGACGTTTAATTGATGAGTTCACTGTCAAGAAGTCTATCTAAGTAGCTTATCTAATCTGATAATAACAATAATAATATAGGCTACTCAATGAACCTTTTTTTTATCAATTTCGATTGATCATTGAAAAAAACAAAAACAAACAAACAAACAAACAAATAGAAATGTAAGTTATTTACGTTTCCATAGTAGCCTAGTTGTCATTCTGGAAGTGAAATGAAAAAAATAAATAAAAAAAAATAAGATTTTTTTTTTTTTTTTAAATAACACTAATGTAGAAAGTTGTGTAGCTACATACAGCCTACATGTGTTGGTGGCAATTTAAAATGTACAAGTGTTGTAAATTCCTCTTAGTGAACTTTTTTTGCTATATAATTGTCAGTTGTTTGTGTAAAACTACACTTTATTGTTTCAGTGTCTGCAAAATTATACTTTTTTGAACGTTGCCTTTTGTCCTTCAATCAAATAGCAAATATCCAATTCATTTGTCCAAACAACTGAAAACAAGCCTCTTTTTGGACATAACTGGCTAGATAATGTAGGCTATCCTATTTGCTCAAAAAATAAAGCGTAAAAATATAAAGCAAACAGCTATTTTCTAACCGTTAACATTGGAAATGTGGTTCTATAGCCAGTAGCCTGGAAAAACCCAGGCAACTTCCGACAAATTTAGATTTTCTCTGCAAATCTGGCAAAGAGCTCATTCAATCCCATTTCTAATACGACGAAAGCGCGGCACCAATCAGAAACGTTGGGGCGGGATTTAAACGATGATGACAGCACAGCAACGGGGTGTGACGATGGGTGTGAGTTGACAATTTCAGACAGTACCGGGCATCCTCTCATTCACTTCACGTCTGTGGCCGTTACGCACAGCTCAGTGTTGCCGCTCCAATTTAGGCTACCTTCAATTAAACCTAACCTTAGTGTAATTGACATAATTACTAAAAAATATTTAGCTACCTAAAAGTTAAAGATTTTTTTGTGTCACACATCCATATCTATTTCCCTCACATTAAATATAAAACGCATGTGTACCTTTTCCAATATCTGGACTCCTTTATTAATGGAGTAGTAGGCCTATATAAACAATATATTTCAATATATTGGTATAAAGGCATTTTGATGAGAATTTATATTTCAAGTTTTTACTGCAAATGTCGAAATGTGCGCTCTTTGGTCCATCAGTGCTTGAGTCACCATTTATTGGAAAACATTTGGAATATGTCAGACATAATTCAATGTAAAATGACCACGTATTATCTTTTGTTTTAAGTGAGTTTTGTTTTGTATAAATTGTATTTTCATTTTAATCAATTTTTTCATCAACAAAAAGAATATAGTTGATATAATTAGGAAATGGAGGCGCCCGCGCGTGAACTGGAGCATCGCATAGCTAAATCAACCCCATGACACTAAAACACCATTAGCAAAACCATGTTAGATGCAAAATATTTTTGCATCTAACAAAAGCATTTGCAAAAGCAATTGAAAAACCATGCAAAATATTTTTTTCACAAACATTTTTTATCATAGAGAATGTTTAAATATTAAATTAAGCTTAGAGGGAAATGGATGTGGAGTTAGTGGTTAGTGGAGATCAAAAATGACACTTAAGGTGCGCAAGACCGGTAAGACTAGACTGACCAATGGCCCTGTTTTACCAGGACATGTCCTGTTTTCATGTCCAGCTCTAAAAAAGATCAGCTCTACAAAAAAATATAGATGGGCAAACAAGGAGTTAGAGGAAGAAAAACAAGATAAAGAGGAAGAAAACTAAAGATATAAATATGTTTTGTTTGTTCGTTTTTGTAAGTTTGTGAGTGCTAATTTTGTTCAATTTGCGGGTATTTCTTTTAGTTAGGCTATTTATTTATGTGTTTATTTTTCTAATGCAGAAGAGACATTATTTCATTATTAATTATTAAATATCATTATTTAATTCATTATTTTTGAAACCTGTCATAATAAAACATGTTGAGTAAGTTGTGTCTTGTTATATAACATTTTTCTACCCATACAGAGGAGGCATTTTAAATGTATTGAAATTAGTAAGGCATCCTTGAGTAAACTTCGAGTATAATTTGAGTATCTGTTTTCCGGCCGAGTATCCTGGTTTTTAGTAATCAAAAATGGGAACCCTAGGCAAGACCCCCATTTCGCTTGGCTGTGTGCACGGCTTTTTTCGTAACAGCGCGCACGGCGCCAAGTCCGACGACTTCAAGTTGAATTTGCACTGGCACCCAGTTTTCACGTCTAAATTTTAAAGTTAATTGCAAAGTTTTTTTTTTTGTAAAGGTTTTGTTTACTGTGTGTGATTTATTTAATGGAAAGCACATTCACTTCATGTCATCTCCTTCATGCTCTGATTGGTTTTAGGTCTATCCAATTACCAGAGGGATTTGAGCTGCATCCTTTGGTGACGCCCCATAGGAAATGATTTGTCTATGAAGTTTGCCAGACCATAACTCAGTTACAACTGAGAATACAACTGAGAATGGTCTGTTTTTAACCAGGCTAGTCCTATAGGGTTCATATGTGCTCTAGTCTTTGGTCATAATGCATGCTTATTTTGTAGAATTTGATTCTTGCTGCGACCTCTGGTGGTCAAATGTAGCGTGGCATGACTTCCAGCTCAGCCCTTTTCAGCCGGGCGGTAGTGCTGAATCAAAGGCCACAGAACAACTATACATGGAACTGTAACTGGAAAATATATAGGTTATAATTATAAATGTTTATTTGTTTAGCGTGTGCTTTCATCCAAGGCGACTTACAATGGTATTCATTATAGGGAGGCACGAGAAGTTTCCATTTTTTTCCACGAAAGGATCTCGGATATAGTTCTAGTTGTTTCAAAAGCAAGTGAGGGATCGTTAAAGAGTGTTCTAGATCATTTAATAGATTATTCGTCCATTTGAGGTCCTACACAGTCACAGCCTACCACACAGACAGTGGGCTACATAAAATCATGGTCCATATCTAATAGACAATATCTATACATAGGCTACAGTAGCCTATCTGACACTGTATGACAGTGAAATCCCCCCCCCCTCTCTCTTTCTCTTTCACTCTCTCTCTCTCACTCTCTCTCTCTCTCTCTCTCTCTCTCTCTCTCTCTCTCTCTCTCTCTCTCTCTCTCTCTCTCTCTCACACACACACACACACACACACACACACACACACACGCACACACACACACACACACACACTGTATTATTATTTGTTTCGCTTATGTCAATAACCGAATCGCACTAAGTGAAATAGGCGCCATTCAGCACCGTGGACAGCTACACGACAGCTTTGCGTTGGATAGGCTATTGCATTTATTTATACCTCTCTAAATCACATTCAATTTTGTCATATTTTAAATCTACACTAACAAAAGCAAAAGTAAAGGAAAAGTCCACCAAAATTTAAATTTCTGCCATAATTTACACTCGTTCCAAACATGGATATGACGTTCTTTCTGCAAAACACAAAAGAAGATCCTGTGAAGAAATGCTTCGACAGTTTTTAGTGGGGTCCAAAACAACAATAGACTTGGTTAACCTGTGGCTATCCCCAAAATAATCCCCCAAAACTGAAAATTCAGTCATCATTTACTCACCCCCATGTTGTTCCACACCGGTAGCCATTGACTATGTTAAGTCAATGGCAACCGTCAACTTTAAAATATAGGCTATTATTGTGTATACAGGTTTGGAACAACTTGAGGGAGAGTAAATTACAGAATTTGCATTTTGTGGGGTAAACTATCCCTTTAAGGCCATGATAACCCACCACCAAAGTGCACTTTTTCAAATTTTAATCAACTTCGGGTTATTTCTTACTTTTCCGGACACATTCAACATCTAATTGTTAAAACGAATTATTGGAATTATTGAAATAGCCTACTTAAGCTATTAAGAATTGTCTACCTGGTCACTCTTGTAAGTTGTAAAAGGGATTTTGATCTCAATTGGTTTTGTTTTAAACCTGCATGGTTAAATGTTGTTATCAAATAATAATAAAAATTGACGAACAAATCGTCATAATAGATTAACCAAAAATTCCTAAATCACAAATAGTTTTTTCAGAGGGCAATGAAAGGTTAATACTGTGATGTTTAAGTACTTCACAATGATTCTAAGCCTAAACTTGACATAAACTGTAAACGTTTCCCTCAAATCTGATTGGTGGATTGGAAAGTTGATCCAGGATCAACAAAGATATTGTGATGTATTTTTTAGTCTGATCTTTACAAATCAATAACGAGAGCGTGCTTCGTCTATCTTGGCAAGATGCTGCTTTTCGACCGCGGACTCTTAACAACTTCTAACAAGAACCGGAAACTTTAAGTCTCCTTAAAGAAAAACAAATGTGAATTGAATTCGGTGAAGTAATCAATGATTATGACAGAATGTTGTCGTCTCTTGCAGTCAGAAAAATGAAGCCGTCAATAAAAGCTGTCAGCCAGTAATTGTGCTCGATCTGAAGCTTTAGTCTCGGACCTTGACAGCTTCTCAATACACTAAAATAGAGCTACTTGACTGTGAACACGTGACTGTGAACACATGATCGCCTGTAGCCTCTCATTGCTTCCGCTAAAAAGATAAGAGTATTTTTTACTACAGCGACAATCAAGCTGGATCAATCTATTTAAAAGCTTCGTAACTTACCTTAAAACCGCCATAGACGCGATCTAGTGCTCGGGAATATCCACGAGGAAACAAATTCCTACAGGACGACCTCAAAATTACATCTAAACTTTATACAGGTAGGCTTTACACTGACATAGATACGTGTTTATAATGCAATTGCTCATATCGATCGCTAGGGGGAGACAAATACTAAATACCTGCTCTTCTCGACATAAAAAAAGTGTAGGGCAACAGTTCATTCTCCAAAATCTCCAAGCTTTGCCGTTGGCCTACATAATACACACATAATTTATAGATGTGTGTACAAACTCCTATAATTGTTTGAAGGCCTTGTCTAATACTGCTTTGTCTAAGATTGCTGTTCTTATTTGAATAATTTCTGAATTTCTCCGTCAGTCTCTCTTCATTTTAGAATTTTAAAGCTATCTATAAATCTATTGATCAACTTATAGTCGTCTTTTATCGTATAATTCGTTGTTTTCACCAATTTGTTGTGATTTAGATTAGAATAACAGAAATGCAAACTCCAGCCTTCCTGATTCGAGCTAGGTTTTATGCTTAACATTACCACCAGAGGGCAGAAGAGACATTGTGGTACAACCCTGCAGCCACAGTAATTATGGTTATTACAAGCTCCTGCTAAGACTAATGAGATAATGAGTCAAGACAACCGAGTCAATGTGTTAGCAAAACAAAGTGTGCAGACATTTAAAATGTGTCCAACAGGCAAATAAGTGAACTGTTTTATCAGGAAATTAGATAGACTATGTTTGTATAGGCTAGGCCTACCTGTTCATTGAAATATTGTATGTAAAGCTGATAATGCTTAATTTATGCACTAGTAGACAATTATGCTAAATAATTAATCAAAGAAGTGTGACATAGCAAGAGTAAAAAAAAGATAGTTGTGAGTTGACTGAAAACACATTGGCCTAGTAAGAAGAGAAGTATAAGAAATAGAAGAGGCCCTTTTCTAATGCCTGCTGTCAGTCAGTCCAGTTCTCCCGCTGATATCAGGGCTTTACCAGAATTCCATAATCAATGTGGATCTAGATCACTGTGATCCAGGGAGACAAAACTGCCACTGGAATGTCAGCCAGCAGAAGCACGCCAGAGAATCCTGGATTCGACTACAAGATGAGGGTGTGTAGTATGTGTGTTGAAGGTTTTGGACGATATCACACTGATCTCATTGTAATAATTATACCCCAAAAGGAGAATGCTCTGAGTCCCAATGAAAAACAGGAAGCTATCATATTTCTGTTTTCATTTCCTGAGTTTTTTCTTTCTTTAATGGAGCTATCTCGAGTTTTATCCTGTTCTCTCACTCTCCCTCTCTGGGGAGTGAAAGTTTTGGCTTAATGTTTCCAAGCCTGAGCGAGATGCCAAAATTATCTTTTTCTTCTGACAAGCATTGTTTCAGTGAATCACCTTTTTATTGCAAATATGTAATGAAGAATCTATCTATCTATCTATCTATCTATCTATCTATCTATCTATCTATCTATCTATCTATCTATCTATCTATCTATCTATCTATCTATCTATCTGTCTATCTGTCTGTCTGTCTGTCTGTCTGTCTGTCTGTCTGTCTGTCCGTCCGTCCGTCCGTCCGTCCGTCCGTCCGTCCGTCCGTCTGCTTTTGTCTATTCATTGTTTCAAACCTAAAACACCTAAAATATTATTTTCTGTTTAATTTTAAGATCTGTGCTACTAGATATGTAAGCATTATTTTCTCTCTCTCTCTCTCTCTCTCTCTCTCTCTCTCTCTCTCTCTCTCTCTCTCTCTCTCTCTCTCTCTCTCTATCTATCTATCTATCTATCTCTCTATCTGTGTGTGTGTGTGCAAGTGAGAAATGGCTGCTTGAGTTTCAGTGACCTTCAGAAAAGTGGATTTTAAAACTGACGTATCACCCATATCCCTTTCCCACAAACACATGTTAGTCTTTGTCGGGGGTCTGGCTGGTTGAAGTGTTGTCAGGTCAATGCATCACTGGTAACAGAATCCCCCTCTTCTGGCTCTCCCGAGACTCACTTTAAAAGCTCCTTCAGTGTCGCCCCCTCCCCCAAAACCTTTTATGAGTCAGTTTCCTTGAGTTCTGGCTGAGTGACTTACCTGTGCAGGTGAAGCTCCCCGACAGACAGATAGTGTGTGAGTGTGAGATTGACTGTCACATTCAGGTTTGCCACCCGAGGCATTTCACAGAAGTTTGTCTGTGCCAGAGAACACTTTTGACTTTATCTAGTCCAATATTCATTTATTTTCTTCATGGTTTGCAGTTGGAGATACAATTTAAACAGAACATCAGAACAACATTTATTCTGACCTTTAATTAAAAAAGTATTGACCTCAACCAAACATTAGAGATGTGTGTAGTGTAAAAATACTTTTTAGCTTCTGCATTCCCTTCAGTGTGGTGAAGAAACTTTAATGTGAAGACTGAAACAACAAGATGTTTAATAATGACAATGTGGTTGTGGGTTTGATTAGCACTCTTAAAAGTAAAGTTAATGGCATTAAAACCTTTGCATTAAGGTTCTTCAGATTATTAAAATGTTCTTCACACTACTGTTATTTTATGGCATTTCAAGTGAAAATCCCCTTTTGAACCTTTATTGTTTTTAAGAGTGTGTTTTTAAACCGTTTCTCTGATTCCAAAATGTGGTCTACCAGTTGGTTAAGAATAAACAGAATTGACTATTCAAAAATGAAATCCAAATTTTTTGTATTATGGATTTATCAGTTTGTTGGTTAGAAACTTACAACAAGAGGAAAGCAGATGTATAAGGAATATTAATTTGTGGGAATTATTAGACAGTTGATTACGCTGATTTTTCATTGGATTGGACATTGTTGGAAAAATTCAATGAGTTCCTGAATTTAGGTCAGGCATAACATGATATTTTGTAAAATCACATGTGTTTGTGTTTTGTACGAAGTAGAAGGGTATAGCCTAATAATGATTCATTTCAAATCTCTTAAGATAGACAGACCAGCGCTATCTCACGACGAATTTGAGTGATTAAAAGGTGGCTAAATCGTAAGAATTCGTACGAGGCAGACAGACTTTATTGAACTCCAACGGTAAATTTCTGTTGTGCAACACCCTGTGGCTTGAGGTTGGAAGGGTGTCCCCTTCGTTTTTGCAATCAAGCCCTTCTAAACCCAGAGAATGTTTCTAATTAGGGCCCGGAAACCCTCTGCGCTCTCTGTTCACAACCATTTACACTGACACGAGAGAGACTATTGAGGTAAGCGAGACAGAAAGAGCTGATCGCACTGCAGAATATTCCAGAAACTTTAGTTTTCGTATGCAGAGCTGGAAATGTTTTCATTTTTCATCTAGGCCTATGTTTAAAAATGTTAGCAAATGTGCGACAAATTAGATTTTTTAAATCTTCAGTTATTTCCATTTGTTAAAAATTGTTTGGCAGCGTATGCAGACTAGTTTTTTTATTAAAAAGGGAGAAGAAAAAGTTCACAATTGTTTTAAATTGGGTCGACGCTGTTTTGTAGTGGTTTGGGTGGATCATTTTTACAGTCTATGGGGTGGACGAGGCGTTTTGGGTGTAGGGTTTTTAGGGCGGAATTTGCGGATAGTGTCAATTGTCAGTGGCCCAGAACTAACAAAAAACAATTTTAAGTTCTTTACTAAAAGAAAGCAGTAGGCTACTTCATCCCTTTCTCTAAATGTCTCTCATTTTTGTCATCAGTCGGTCATTATAATGAACTTAATAAATGTTTAGCCTATCAAACCGTAACGTTAAGGCATAAAGTGAACGTGTGTGTTTGACCAGGTTTTTTTTTTTTTTTTTTTTTTTTTTTTTTTTTGGGACTGAATAACGGTCAAAAAGTCAAACTCGGCCCCGCGCGCACCCTGGCGCCTTGGCGTCTCTCTGCCCCTCTGCTTAAGGGCCAATTTTTCTTGTTGACGTTTCAGGCGTTCTCATTTTTCACGCGCCCATGCCCTCTTCCGGCTTGGAAGTGTCACGTGGATTAACATATTTTTATTAATTTTGGGGCGTTGTTCTTATTTATTGTCGTCTTTTAACGACAATAGTGTTGATGATGTGTCGAAGATTTTGGACAATAGCCTGTGATAAAAAAAACTTGATGTTGGAGAGCCACTGTTTTTAAAACTAAAAGACTGTAGTAAATGTTGTCGATACACATTGGGCTGTATTTAATAAAAAAAAATTAAGAAACCAGTTTTTCACATCCATAGTTAGTTGCAGATGCTTAAAAGCCAATGTCTTTCTCATTAAAATCCCCGTTCTTAGAATACTGTCCAATACAGAACAATTTCTATAAATTAACTTTAATTAAAACATCATAAATTATTAAACGTTTATGCATCCAACAATAGTGAGAATATTCTTTTAAATATTGGCCTCGCTGTTTTTACAAATTTAATGCACTTTTCCAGTAAACACAAAATTCCCCAAACTCAGAGAAACTCTTTTAAAACTCCCCCTTTTCAATCATTTGCAACAGAATAGTTTATATCAGCAAACGTCCTCTGCGTCATAAGAATATGCGGTAATGCCGTAAATATTGGTTATGTTTATAAGTCTTGTCGCTTAAAAATGTCAACGGGAAATCCTAAGATCCTAAATCCACAAGGCTGGATGTTAGAGATCCCAACAGTGAATCATGGATCTGATGCGGATGTCCTTGCATGCTGTGCACCGAATGCTGCGCACCGAGGCCGGGCATTGGGTATGCGGGAGCCACGGGAGTGTTGATGTTCCCCTGCAGGAGGAGCACGGGGTTGTGCTCGGGACTCTGCGGCGGAGAGTATTCATCCTCCGAGCTGGACATCAGCGACTTCACTCCGTCGAGCGGAGACCGCTGGCTCTGCTTACCGCCAACGCCGTTGTTCTCGCTGTTTTCTCTGTTGGATGAATATTACATTTTAACATGATTTGATATGGGCCTATTGACATGTCATAGGCCTAGAATTTGGCTATATATTTAACAAAGTGTAGATTCAAAATAGTTTAATCTTACATCGGCTAAAGTCAAACTGACGCATTATGTTTTTAAATTAAATGTTTAGCTACGCACTTATGTAGGCCTATACTTCGCTTATGTCAACACGTCTAAAAAGATAACTGTCATCTTACATTTACGAAAGAAACGTTTCTAGAATTCGAGACGATTTTAGGCCTATTACAAAACGCAAATCAATCTTACACTGAATCAAACTTTCCAAAATCTCCTATTAAATTATAGCCTACGAATATAGAAGCCTAAATAAAATCTCAGTAGGCCTAAGAAAAAATATCTTCCTTTTCACTTGTTTCGTTCGTTAGAGCAAAACTATAGACTTTTGAATCCCAACTAAAAAACAAAACAAACAAAAAAACATTGTTAACATAAAATATTTCTACACATTATAAAAATAGATCGTGTTTGGTTTAAATGATTAGAGTTACATTTGAGTGACTACATCATCTTTTTAGTTAGACTATACATTTGTCAAATTTTGTTGTCCTCACTGCGCGTGACTGCAATAGGCTATTAACAATTTTTTCGCTTTTTAAAAAAAAAAGCTGTTCATACACTTTAGCTTGGAGAGTAGGCCTACTCTCAAAAAAACGTAGCCTAGACTATATTTAATTGTTTATATATTTATATTTTTTTAATAACTCACCTCTCTTTTGCCTCGGCTGCCCGGTCTCTTTGCCTCCTGTTTTTAAACCAGTTGCTGACCTGTGTTGTGGTCAGTCCCGTTGCGTCCGCCAGCTCCCGCTTCTCCCTTGGAGATGGATAGGGATTGTGCGTGTACCATTCACGCAGCACACCCCGAGACTTCTCTTTAAAGCAGTAACTGGTCTCTTCGCCGTCCCAAATCGTACGGGGCAAAGGGAATTTCCTGCGCACTCGGTATTTGCCCACAGCGCCCAGCGGGCGGCCGCGCAATTTTTCCGCCTCCACATAGTGAGCCTTCAGCCACAGCTGCTGCAGCTTCGGGTGGTTGTGCGCGGAGTACTGGTGGCTTTCCAATATCTTGTAGAGCTCACGGAAATTTCCCCGGTGGAATGCCACCACGGCCTTCGCTTTCAGCACAGATTCGTTCTTGTGGAGGTGGTCGCAGGCTGGCAGGGACCAAAGGAAACGTCCGAGTCTCTCCAGGTTCCCACCCTGCTGCAGCACCTCGCAGACGCACGCGACCTGCTCCTGCGTAAAGCCGAAAGAGGGCAAGATTGACATGGCGCCCCGATGGAATCCACCAAGTAGCCTAATACCCTCCTAATCCAAGGCTCTGTGGGTATTCCTCTCCAATGAGCCCCGGGACAAAAAGCCCCGTGCCACGTTTATCTGTTGATGCAGCTCCTCCAATATTAATAACCGTCTGTTATCCGGTTGTGTGGCACCACTGTTAATCCTCTGGGCTGCACACGTGAGATTCCGATGCGGTTTGTCCGTATGGATATATGACAGAGAAACCCAGCACAGCGTCATTCCGTGATTGGCTCGCCCCGGTCTGTTGTGGAACCGGCAGGCAGAGCAGAACTGCGTCTACAGATCCGTTCCGTTTCCTCCCCGGAGGGCGGACGTCAAGGCCTGAAACTGGAGACCTTGAACACACACACACACACACACACATGCACACGCACATACTCACCCACACTATACCATTGATAGGCTACTAATCAATTATTAAATGATCGCAAGCTCCTCCACAGCTTTGAATCCGCAGTATTTACATCGCCTTCTGATTTCCTTGACATCACAGTATAGATGCATAGAGATAGTCTTATATTATTTTAATTATAAGATTATATGTTTTGCACTTATATTTTATTTTCAGTTATTAGCTAAGATTAATTCTTGAGAATTCTATACAAAAAAACTAGCAATGTGTGCGCTTAATTGGGTGGCATTTTCATAGCTTATCAGTATTGTAGTGGGCCAGAAGTTTTAATGGTGGATTCAAGAGTGTGTCAAAGATGCTTAAAGGGAGATGCAGAAAAGATATAGGCCTACATCTCTGAATTTCTCAGTTATCGTAAATTAGGTAAAGATATTCTAATACATTACTCTTGCCTTCGTTTTACTAATTAATAAAGGCAACAATACCTATAAGAATTAATATGGAAATAATTGAATTCGTGGGACAGCATTCATGCGTCAAAATACGATATTACCTGAAGTCTTATTTCTGCTAGTTGAACTTCTTGAAGTCATTGGCCTTGAGAAAGAATGACCGTCTTATTATTTTAATTATGAATTTTACACGTCTGAAATCTATACATGAATTCGACTTTGTTTAGTTTTTCCTGATAACTTATGCCTATAAATTGCTTTGATTAATCCATTGTACAGGCCTCTCTTAAAAATGCCACATATATCTTTAGGTTCCAATCAGAACTAATAAAAGTTAGGCCTGATGCCAAATAAAAACCTATAGGCTATTTTAAAAAATCAGCCTTTATTTGGATTTATTTTAAAAACCGTGAGGTTTAAAGGGCCATACTGGAGAACGTCCAATGAAACGCATAGAATTTCTTTTATCTCTTCTTTTAACTCAATAACACAATTTTTCCTGAATCTATGATCTAATTAAAAAAAAACATTTTTAACAGTGCATGTGTGTGTGTGTGTGTGTGTGTGTTTTTTAAATAATTATATTTAGTTGAAATAAGCCCCGTCGTTGAAGTATTTGGTCTGTGTGGTTTTGTAAGGTGGGTCTGAAACACTATACCGATCCATTAGCGAATAACTTGTGAGCTTGACGAGCTCTTAGTCTCCCGGTCACAGCTCTTTATCTCTCAAGATATCCGTAACATGACACCGGGAAATCCAGCTGGTCCGCCTGAGGCTGTTTATTATTATTTTTATATATATATATATATGTATGTATATATTAGCCCTCTTCTTTTCTATACATTTTAGAACGTTGTGAGGATTTTGGACACTAAATATTCCCTAATGCTAATTAGTATCTGTGTAATCTTTAATTGGCCCCCTTAACACCTGTGAAAACAATCATTCGTGTTCAGTCTAACCTGCGTTATCCGCCCCCTCTTTTTTCCCTCTTTTTTCTTAATGGTTTTTAATGCCTTTGAAGAGTTTACGCAGCAAGCAGATGTTAACTGCATTTTAGAATAATCTACTTCTAATTCTATGGGAATCAGAATTGTAAATAAATTCTTAATCGGAGCTCCTGAGTCTTTGAATAAAACAAAACGCATGTAAGGCTATTGCATATCACACTTTGTTTAAATTAATCACGAATTATACACATAGAACATGTACATATTAATTGTTTTTTTTTTTAAATGCACAGTAATGTGAAGTGTGATCGATGTAATTCTATGTGCATAAATATATTCCAAAATGTCTACATTTGTGCATAAATGCTGGCTAAAGCGGTCTCCTTGGGTCTGTCCTGAACTGTAGGTGGGTCGATGGCTTCTCTGCTCAGGTTACGGTATAGGCTATGTCCAGTACAATGCACCCCCTCCATCACACCAGATCCTCTACCAGCCCCCAGGACGGCGTCGTGCCCGCTCTCATGATCATTTCAAGATGTTATGGACTAACAGAAGCGCGTGCGCATACAGGGTGAGGGGGAGCGCGCGCACACACACACACACACACACACACACACGCACAAAATATCCTAATAAGTTCAACATAAATGTCACCATATTTCATGTTTAGTAGTCCGTGCTCCACCACTGTGAAGGTGTAAACTGTTTTCTTTACACCGAGTGTGTGTTTATGAGTTTTCTGTGAGGTGTAAATGAAAGACTGAGTGGAGGAGAATCCACCGCTAATTAGACGTTGTTGCAGCCGTTCGAGGGGGGAAGAACAATCCAGTACTATTGCATATTACAAGTTAAAGGAAAATTGATCAGATAATGGAGCTTTTTATTTTAATTCGTTTGAAACAGCAGGATTTTTTTTCAATAACACTTGCATTGTTGAATGCATTTTTAAACATTGTTTAGTTGCATTTGTTTTGTTTGCATGCCTGTAATTAGATGCAGGGGCCTACTGTAATTATGCAACAAAGTCATTATAGGCCCATATTGACTTGATTTTACATAGAACGTCAAAAACGTTAAGAAATAGCATATTCCTTATTATCCTTTCACATAAGTTTGAACTAAAATTATTCGAATAGTTTGATTTTTTCTGATTTGGATACGAAAATATCACATAATAAAAAAAGTATAGTTGCTTATTTACATTTTTTTAAAGTAGCCTAAAATTAGTTTCGACCAATTTGGATTTAATTAATCAATCAAGCTGAAAAAATAAAATGAGATTGCAATTATTAGAATAGAATATAATTAGTTAAATCCAGAAACGGCAAGATTTCTTATAGTGAAAATTTATTGTGAAAAATACACTCATTTGCAAGGATAACACAATGGAGTTTTTTTTTTATTATTATTATTTTTTTAACTTGCTTCCGTTGTGGTCCTTGATCTAAAGCATATCTTGTTGTTAAAGCATATCTTAGTGGACTGGAATGGAGAGAATGTAACTTTATTTTTTTTTAGTCATTTGAGGATTCTAAAAAGTAATGCAGTGATGATATTGAGAAGATAACATAGAAACATGAAATATATTTGTGTATTTACACAGAAAATAATTAGACATATTCATCAAACGTAATGGGAGTTGATTTATGATGGCATATTTTATTTAAATAGACTCAATACCAATACATTTCTAAAAAAAAAAAAAAAACAATATATTTCTTCACAATAAATCCAAATACATCCATAATCTCCAAACTCAAAGTGTCATATTTCGTACTACAGGAAGAGGGCGCCAGCCAGTGACTTCTATCTGCTTTTGCCACAAATAAACAGTTCGAAATGCCTTCTGTTAAATATTTATGATCTATTCCATGTAGCCTACATTGCTTTATATATATATAGTACTTTTCATAATATCTTTTGCTTAGTTTGTCAGCGTAATTGGTTGTTGGTTTTTACTTAGAAAAAACAAGTAACCTGGTTGCCTTAATATTTAATGTTCATTAAATCATTTTCATTTTTTTCATCAGTTCATTTTTTTTTTAGTTAAAACAACGAAGGACATTTAATCATCAGAAACTCAAAATATTATGATGACAAAAAAAAATTAGGCTACAGTGTGTGTGTGTGTGTCTTGTTTTTATGTTCTTCTATTCACACTGTAGATGAGGTTTCAGATCAGAATCTGGAACAACAAGGTAAAACTCATTGAATGAATTCAAGAATAATGTCCTGCACTCTTACAAAGTGGTGTGTGTGGGCTGTCAGAAGAAGTAATGAAAAAAACAGTTGTGCTCTCTCACTCTGTGGTCCAATTTCACCAGGGGCACAGATTAACCCCTATCTCTGTGTGTGTGTGTGTTTCACTGAAATCCTTATGCTTATCCTCTTCACTCTTAATAATATGTGCCATTCAATCACCTTTCTTTCTACCTAACTGGTTACATCATACACTTTGTAGTTATCTTTAAGATAATTGCATCTTTTTGAATTGTAGCAGCACACAGCTTTTTGCAGAAACACAAGTTTAGCGATATCTGAAAAGTACTAGTGGCCTAATACTGCACAAAACGTGTGCTGTATGCATGAAAAAAATACCTCTCCTTCTCTCTCTCTCTCTTTTTCTCTCTCTCTAGGAAGGCATACCAAAGAAACTGTGCAAGGCTGCAGAGGTCATATGTCAGTAAATATGAATGGCAGGATGACAGACTCATATCCCTAAAGGCAAAGAATGCAAGTTTGATGACACGATTTGATATTATTCAGGCTTATAAGCAGTTAGTTGTAGTTCAGGTTGTTCAACTTGTATTAGTTTAATGGCGTTCGTTTATGCACATTACCCAGACCTGCAAGTATATCTGGCACTCTGCATTTATATTTACACATTCACACTTATTGGTCTGGTTCATATAAATTCTCTCTCTTACACACACACACACACACACACACACACACACACACGCAGGTATGAGGCACAGCTGAGGAGCAGCGTGTGCCCTTTCACCTCTCATTAGTGGGGGCGTGGGGGGAGGTTCAGGTTACAAATCCAGCTCTGTTTGCTATTCAGGGTTAAGTCCCCCCTCTTTCTGAACCCCCCAAAGGTGAGAGGTCATAGTTTTTAATAAGGCTAAGTTTGAGAGGTTTATATTTTTTTATTACCGCTTCTCATTGATGGTCACCGCGAGGTAGTGTGAGTAGTTTAATCACTTTTTTTCTTTACATGTTGTTAATGCCAAAATATGACATTAAACTATTAAGCTCACAACTCACAAAAAACTCTTCTCTCCGACTGCGTTCATTGTTGGAGCTGGTGTTATCTGATACCTGGCCATCTCTCATGGCAACAGGGTCACCTAGGCTGTTGTGGAACAGGTGACAATGCTCCTATTTCTTCTCCTCATACAATCTGTTCCCATTATCTCGCTCGCACTTTTGTTCTGTCTTGTTTTCCCCTCCTCTGCGAGAGAGTCTGAAAGAGTCCCAGCAATACTGCTGAGATGATGGTATATTCAGATATGTTTGGCAGGGAAAAGCTTTGGTATCGAAAATTGTTCGGCTGGCTAGCTTGCGTTTATGTGGTTTTAAAAGCGGAACAATGCATTTGAAATCCACACAATGTCCGTAAGTGCCATCTGTAACAGTCATTTACCAAATCGGAGACAATTTCTCTGTCTGTTTCTCTACCTCCGTCTGGACCCCCCTAACAGGAGGCGACAAGGCCTCCAGAAATCCCCCTCCTGTTTATTTGAATTTAGGAGTCTGAGGCAAGAGCAGCTTGCTAACAAGCTCCAGACCACCAGGCATGTGCAAACGATCACCGCTGATTTTCCAGCTCCCGGCCTGGCCTTTCTGTATCAGGTCTCTGCTTCACCTCCCCTCCCTGGCTACTTAAATCTTTTTATTTGCATGTTTCCTGTCGGCCTGAATATTTAACATCCACCGTAGACATAACATGTGAACACAAACAAATCTACGTCGAGAGTTTACAAGTCATGAATGAAATCACTCGGGTGAGGCTGTTAATTCCAGTATAAATATTTAATGGATCACTTTTTTTTAATTATTAATTATTTAGAAAAATACATTATAACTCTAACATTTTTGTTCATGCTAAAATAATATTCACAATCCAGTTTTGCTCATACATTTACATTAGCCGTACATTAGCTCATTTCACATCTATCTTTTTAATTTCTGTAGAAGACATCATTCGCCATCTCTGATTTCTAAAAGGCGTTTCTCAGTCCCAGAATGGCTGCATAGCTTTAGTCATGGAGTTAAATACTGCAGATGTCAAACCAGCACCAAATAAATAAATGGCAACCTGAAGACCAACCAAACGTTGACCTTCAGAAAGCAGGAAGGCACAAAGAACAAACTGAAAAGCAAAAACTAGATGCACTCGTTCACACAAACATTCTGACAAACACACAACTCACTCACATACACAATCGTATTCACATTTTTTCACATTTACAACTGTGCTGCAATATCCTGACATCTATTCAGACTTTTTTTTGGTTTGATAAATGAAAATCTTGACAAACAATCTTGACAAATTGTTATTGCTTTTTAGTAGGGCTGTCAAATGATTAATTGAGATTAATTGCATCCAAAATAAAAGTTTGTGTTTACTTAATATATGTGGGTGCACTGTGTATAATTATTTTGTATATATATAAATACACACACATGCATGTATATTTAAGAATTTTTTTATTTATATATAAAAATGTAATGTTTATACATATTATAAATTATATATAAATCTATATACAGTATATACATGAAATATTTCTTTAACATACAAGCATGTGTGTGTATTTATATATATATAAAATAATTATACACAGTGCACCCACATATATTAAGTAAACACAAACTTTTATATTGGATGCGATTAATCGTGATTAATCATTTGACAGTCGTACTTTTTAGGTGGCATTCAGTTTGAAGACAAATTCACATGATCTGCTTCCAATGATGGTTCATTGTAAGACCTAGATGATGAGTTTAATCAATGTTTAAGTTACCCGTATCGCAGGCTCAGAGCAGTTTGCATTTCAAACGAATCAAGTATATTTTGTGTACTGATAACAGCCAACATCTGTGGCAAGCTGTCAATTACCAACCATTCTGACTCATCCCTTAATTTGTATAAGCAAACATTGTGGATTTTCTATTGATATCTACATTGCATATCATTTGCATATTGTAATTGGAAGATGCAGTCAACGTAATGACCATGACAATGCCATGAAGATTTTCACAGATTTTATGTTTTTAATCTGCATGGGAATAAAGTGTGTCTGTGTTTCCGTAGTGAGGTGACCTTTAAGGTTCGACTCAGATGACACATGACCAGACGTCCACCTGTCTGCTAACCTCAACTCTTCTTGGCAGAAACTAGCAGGTGACTCTCATAAAACACACACATATGTCCACACTCCCCACTGCGGGAGGAAAGGGGGGGGGGGGCGACAGACAGAAAATAAGAGCTGTCTGCTACCTGTAGCTCAAAAATACATGTAAACTCTTAAAACCGTATGAAATAATTGCTGGATGGATGGAGGAAATTTGAAAAAATGGTATTATTTTATGTACCAGGGGTTTTCAAAAGTTTTGGTTCCATGGATCACTCCAAACATTAATTCCCTTGGAAAGGGACCACATTACTAATATACAAATCAGCTATATGTATAAAGACCAAATTTCTACAATAATGTTTTAATATTTATTTATTTTTTTTTACATATTTTCTGAAAAATATTTATTTTCTATTGTGTTATTATGTTTCTATTATTTTCTACCCACCATTTTTTGTTAGATGAGAGAAATATTAGTTAACTACATTAGTTAACATGCACGTGCAGCATTTATTGATCTTTGTTTAACTCAACATTTACTAATAGTTTATAAAAAATCTTGTTAAGATTAGTTAATGCACTGTGAACTAACATGAACAAACAATGAACTAATGTTAACAAAGATGAACACATACAGTAACAAATGGATTGCTCATTGTTAGTTAATTTTAGTTAATACATTAACCCCTTCGCTGTCACCCCGCTTTTTGAGAATGGGGGTTAAAATGCACTATTTAAACTTAAATTGTTGTAATTCAAGAATGCTTTGGAATATATACCCAAGTTTGGTCTTGTTTAAAAGGAAACAGTCAGCAGATTATTGCTCAAGTGAAAACACTTCAAAATGAAAGTATGAAAAAGTTATGGAAGTTTAAATTTACATTAAATCAAATATACTGTACTATATGTTTTTTATTTTATATAAAATATATATTTTACAAAATATTTTTTACTCTAAAATTACTATAAAATCAAAGCCATACATCGAACCAAAATATGTTCCAAATTTGAAGTTGATATCACAAAAATTGAAGTTTCCATATTTTGTTTAGGCGTAGTACCAAAAACAGCCACCGGGTGCTATTGAATTCCTTTGAATTTAGTTGTATACATTCTGCCTTAACAAATTAATACATTTCTGTCCAAATATCAGTTCTGTCACAAAATTTGGAACCTTGAGACACCGACCTTTTTGACAATATGTTCTTTTCAAGATTAGAAAAGGTTTTGATCATAAATTATGAAATATAATGATGCCCAAAAGGGGAGGAGCCTGATAAAATAAGTACCGTTTCTATGGTAACGGTTTTCACAGGATGAATTCTGAGTTTATAAGCTTTCAAATGATACCTAATTTATGATAACTCCTAAATATGTGTTTTAATAAAAAAGAAAGATAAAAAAATGTAGAGGATAATATTATACTATAATTTTTTATTGAAAAATACTAGATTATATGTTTTATTATGAACTTTTAGCATAAAAACAGAAGTTTCAATGATTAAAAGTGGGTGCATTGACTTTTTGTGACAAAGGTCTTGTGACAAAAACTTGTAATGATGCAGATTTTTTGAGGTGCACTCTTGTCATAAATTCATCAGTTACTCTTCCTACATAATTTGTAACACAAAACAGGGGTAGAATATTTATTTAGAAGTCTTAGACCTTTCCAACGATGTATAATTTGTCATAATTAGATTAGGATTTAATAGAAATATAGTAAAGTAAAGTTAGGCGTCCCGGTGGAACGGTGACAGTTAAGGGGTTAACTAATGAACCTTATTATAAAGTGTTATCATTTTATTTTTGTTTTATTTATTAATTCATTTTTATACTAGATTTTTCTGTAACCTTTAGCACTCTCTTGTTTGAAAACCCCTGTTATCCACAACTATTGAATTAGTATAGCTGAAAAAAGTAACTGTGTGTGTGGAGGAGCGATAAAAGAGGAAAACAACAAAAAACAAACACTTTCAAAAACTGTATTCTTTAGATATGACTTTGCATAGGTTCTCCAAACCAAACTGGAGTCAAACCAAGTGACAGACGTACCAAAATAATTTAATACTTACATTAAAAAACAACAAAACATTTAGAGGCTGAAAACATAAAAAACTCAACCAACAATCCAAAATAATGTTGTGATTTCAGTAAAAAGTATTTTACCTCCTTCTCCTCTTAAGTTCAAAGATCAGTCATTTCTTCCTCTATATGGACTGTTTTTAGTTTTGTCAGTTGTTTTTCCTCTTCTTCCTCCCCTCCTCTAATCTCTCCCTTCCCTCTCTCTGAAACCGCACATAGGAAGTCTCCATTTAGGCTCGAGGTCATCTGGGCATCATGACCTCTGAACTGGCCGGTAAGGTCCGTTTGGGTGAGTAATGGTGAGCTTACTGTGAGAGTGGAGTAGTCTTGCTGGCTCGTTGTCATGCTGGTGTTAAGTGAGGTGGGGGAGTAACCCAGTTGGTAAAGGTATCCACCAGGAGTCTCTAAAGGTTCCTTCTTTACAACAGATAGTGTGTGTGCGTTGGCCAGGCCGTAGAGTGCCGTGCTGGGCTCGAGAGAGGTCATCTGAAGCCTGTCCTGCTCCTCCACCCCGAGGTGACACAGAGAGGAATGAGCAGGAGATCTGCTATCAACAACGCCTGACAGATGACAGAAGTGAAGAGAAAAGATCAAGCTCTTCAACCTTTTCGGTGGTATACAAATATTAAGGATATATTATTCAGTTCCATGATAAAGAAAAGGAAAAATCATGACGTTTGACGACCTTGCCTTGCCATAAATGGTCAGATTATGTGACTTGGATACATTAAATTGATGTGACACTTAAAACTAATAATGTTCAAAAAAGTCTTTTGAACTTTCCATTCATCAAAGGATCCTAAAAAAGTATTAAGCAGCACAACTGTTTTCTACATTGATAATAATAAGAAATGTTTCTTGAGAAGCAAATCGGCATATTAGATTTCTGAAGGATCCTGGAAATTCAGCTTTGCCATCACAGGAATAAATTACATTTTAAAAATATATATATATTTTTTGTTTTATATTGTAATTATATTTCACAATATTGCTGTTTTTCAAAAACAAAACCTTCTTCAAAACGTGTAAAAATCTTACCGGCCCCAAACATATTTCTATTTTCTGATAAAAAGAAAATATGATAGAAGATTATGCCACTTAAATTTCCTTTTCAATAATTGCATTATTTTACTATTTCCTTCTAATACCAGGAAAATTGTATCAGCCTGACATTTTCGACATTATGCCCTCAAAAAATGATCAAAGTGAATTAAATGTTTAATATTTAAATATTATTTAACCCCTTAACTGTCACCGTTTCAGTGCCGGGAGGTCTAAATTTACTTCACTATATTTATAGTAAATCCTAATCTAATCATGACAAATTTGTTGGAAAGGTCTAAGACTTCTAAATAAATATTCTACCCCTGTTTTGTGTTACATATTATGTAGGAAGAGTAACTGATGAATTTATGACAAGAGAGCACCTCAAAAAATCTGTATCATAACAGGTCTGACCTTTGTCACAAAAAGTCGATGCACCCACTTTTAATCATTGAAACTTCTGTTTTTATGCTAGAAGTTCATAATAAAACATATAATCTAGTATTTTTCAATAAAAAATTATAGTATAATATTATCCTCTAAAAATTATAAAATATATTATCCTCTAAAATATAATATTTAATAATATCTTTTTTATCGGCTTTTTTATTATATCATATATTTTAGTAGTTATCATAAATTAGGTATCATTTGAAAGCTTATAAACTCATAATTCATCCTGTGAAAACCGTTTTATAATTGAACATTGCGTTACCATAGAAACGGTACTTGTTTTATCAGGCTCCTCCCCTTTTGGGCATCATTATATTTCATAATTTATGATCAAAACCTTTTCTAATCTTGACAAAAACATATTGTCAGAAAGGTCTGTGTCTCAAGGTTCCAAATTTTGTGAGAGAATTGATATTTGGACAGAAATTTATTCATTTGTCAAGGCAGAATGTGTACACTTTTAATTCAATGGAATTCGATGGCACCCGGTGGCTGTTTTTGGTACTACGCCTAAACAAAATATCATGGAAACTTCAATTTTTATGATATCAAATTCAAATTAGGAACATAACTTGGTTAGATGTATGGCTTTGATTTTATAGTAATTTTAGAGTAAACAAATATTTTGTAAAATATATTTTATATTAAATAAAAAATATATAGTACAGTATATTTGATTTAATGTACAAAGTAAATTTAAACTTCCATAACTTTTTCATATTTTCATTTTGAAGTGTTTTCACTTCAGAAATAATCTGCTGTCTGTTTCCTTTAAAACAAGACCAAACTTGGGTATATATTCCAAAGGATTCTTGAATTACAACCATTTAAGTTTAAATAGTGCATTTTAACCCCCATTCTCAAAAAGGGGGGTGACAGCAAAGGGGTTAATAATTAAATATTATTTAATACAGAAAATAAAAAACATCATAAGAGCGGTGTATTAACGTCATTGTAGATTTGCAGGAAACAACAAAATAAACATCATATCTTTGACCTTCTACACAAACACAAACTCATCCTGCTTGAAGGCATGATGTAGCCTAATCTTTGATGATGTTTGATGAGGCTCACTCACCTTGTGTAACTGACGAGGGTGAAGAAGATGATGGGAGCTGCAAGGGAGGAAATACAATCTTGTTGCTAAGCAGCGAGGGCCCGTTGCCTTCAGAAACCAAGTTGTAACCTTCAAGCTGCAAGCCATCGGACGAGGTGACAGTGAACGCCGAGTTAATGGACGTGGTCTGGTCCTGAACTGACACATCCTGCCTAACATCCTCTGCTTTCACCTCTACGTCTGTCCCATTCACACTGCAGTGAAATGAGGGGTACGCCAGGGCAGGGTCTGCTGTTACCCTTTTATCCTGTCCTGCACCATCCATCTCCACATCAACCACTGACCTGCAGGCCAGGGACTGGAGTCCCAAGTTCATGCCACTGAAGAGTACATGTCCTGTGGTGGAGAGAAAGGAAGGGGTGCCGTTGTGAAAAACAGAGGTGGGTGTGTTGACCGAGACTCCGTTAAAGATGACGGACGATGAGTTCCTGCTGTCTCCAACCTGCTGGACAATAACCCCGGCCTCCAGAGCTCCAGAGCAGAGAGGCACAACTGTATTACCCACTGCCCCATCAGAACAGGTCGACATCGGACACGGGGACAAAGACTCCTGACCTTTACTGCTCTCGTCCTCCGTACTGTGATTTCCATCTGACTCACTGAGAGAGAGTGAAAGACATGAAGATATCTGATGATGAAGGACATCAGTAAACCTTTGAGTCTCAATCGCTACACTTTTAGTTAATTATTTTGCATAAGTTTTTTTATAGCACACAGCTGAAATGAAACATAGTGTCGGCCCACATCTGGTCCATGTGGAATCCAGGTGTACCAGATGTGGGCCTAATCTGGGCAGACAGACACAAACACATCACAGACACAAACAACAACAACAACAACATGTGCTCACTGAGTCAATGATATATTTTAAAAGAAAAGAGAGAAACACTTGGGGAAATTTCTAATTCTATATTTCTAAACTGTGTGAAAGAGAAGATGAAAGATGATTTTATATATAACATTGTATACAAAACACCCACACCAATAAAGTACTTTGAAAACGAAAGTGGGAATGTTATGAACCAACTTCTCACTCTTTGAACTGTAGGCATGAGCGCGGATTGACGCAGCTGCAGGAAGATGGAGACGGGAGCGCGCATAGACAAATGGGGAGGTGAGTATCCACTTAACACCGCGGGACTCCCAAGATCACAGACTTGGCATGTCAGGACTCAGGAGTAATCCTGTCTATACTGCAGACTCTTTTACGCACCGCACGCATGCACGCACACCATTTGGCGACACAAACCCGCAATCACAGCATGACTTCACAAATGGTCAGCTTTATGTTCACAGTGTCCTTCGCTAAAACAGGGAGGGTCCGCCAAAACGAGAGGTTAAATTTAGCTGATATTTTAAAGTCCGATACAGCGCGATTCCTCCTCCACTGCGCGCTTAGGACGATATTTCACAGTGACTTCAGCTGTTCAAACATAAATTCGTATTGAGAGAAAAGGGCGCGTTTATTGAATGACTGCAGCAGCTGTGTGACTTCCACAACGTGTTCCTCTTCACAGCCAGACAAAAGATTTTGCCAGTTATTATTTTTAGTGATAACGTTACGCGTTTGGGAGCTTAAACAAGACGCGTTCTATCAGTCTCACAAGCGTCTTTGCTTGTTGCGTCGCGTTTAAAAATCTATTTAAACTTGCCTCGAGACCACTGTGTTCTAGTCCATTTCTTGTTTTCCGTTTAAAAACATATTTCAGTAATGCTAAATTATGAAACCCTACATAGGCTATACAATATATTGGACTTTCAAATATTCTTTATAGCCTATTTAAATGCAATTTTAAACATTGGTGATCTATTAAACACAAACACTATAAAAATAATAATGTTTGCCAATAATATTAATAATACATCCCTGGCTGAGCATGTAAATGGGGTCCCTGAATCTGAAAAGGCCTGTCGTGGCCTATTAATAACACATTTGCCACACCCCCACATGTGGCATTAGAGAAAATCTACAAGATAAATGAATGAATGGCATTTAAGATGTCCTCTATAAAACAAATACTTGCATTTTCTGACTGATATTAGCAAAAACACATCTCCAAACATGAATTGTGATTTTTCAGATGAACTATTTGGTGTTTTTCTTTGTTGAAATGCTGGCCAAGGAGTCCAGCTGTAAATAAAATAGCCTCATTCACGTGATAATATACGATTGCTTACAAATGCTTTAAGCAGCGTGTGACACCAGCTTTCTGTGAATGGAAAAACAAATGTATTGTGTAAGGTAGGTCACCTCCACCAGGTGCACTAGAGCTTTGTTCACAAAGAGTTTTAAACATTAAAGTGAATCCTGTATATCCAGTGCATGTGTGTGAGTGTGTTATAATTGAGTGCTGAAGAGAAGGTTTTCCTATCCCCTCTGGCTAAAAAGAAAAGTAAATAGTTCAGAGTGATTTATGTGGTGGGGCAAACCTTACGCGTCAATGGATCCAGAGTAGCTACTCACTCAAAAATAAACACACGCAGTCACACATGACTCACGCAATACATTTTACGCACACCTTTGGATAATGTCCTTTAAAACTGCCCTTTCAATTTCAAAATGTCGATGCTTTCTTCTGATTTAACATCATCATTGAGAATAAATAAAATATTTAAATCAAAATCCACCTAAATTCAAAAAGCACTGGTAACAACCAAGCAGAACTTTTTTTTAAAATCGTGAAATGCCCAAAGGAGGATCTTGATTGAACTATATCTCAATAGTCTTGCCAATATAACTTAATAAAAGTCTTGTTAAATTCCTTGAGTGTTCACTCATTCATTGAACAAAATGTGTCTTGCTCACCTTTTGGACTGCGCCTCTGACGGGTTTCTGTCTCTTTGCCTCCTATTTTTGAACCAGTTGCTAACCTGCGTTAGGGACAGTCCTGTGATCTTGGCCAGATTCCTCTTCTCGGCCGGGGACGGGTACCGGTTCTGCTTATAGAGTTCCTTCAGCGCGTTCCTGGAGCGCTCTTTGAAGCAGTACACCGTCTCCTCTCCATCCCAGATAGTCCGGGGCAGGGGAAACTTTCGTCGCAGGCGATATTTATCCACTGCGCCCAGCGGTCTACCGCGGGCCTTCTCCGCCTCCGTGTACCGGGCTTTGTACCATAAGTCCTGAAGGGAAGAGTGGCTTGAGGGGCTGAAGCTGTGGCTCTCCAAGATGCTGTAAAGCTCCTGGTAGCGCGCCTGGTGGAAGGCCACCAGCGCCTGAGCGCGGAGGATACTCTCGTTACCGCGCAATAAGTCGCTCTGCGGGAGAGACCACAGGAACCGGGCGAGTCGATCCACGTTGCCCCCCTGCTGAAGCGCTTCGCAAACACACGCAACTTGCTCCGGTGAAAAAGCCAAAGAGCTCGTGGTAGTTGCGGGTGAAGTGTGCGCAGACAAAGAGTCCATAGTGGGCATCTTGCGCTCCAGCGGAGAGGTCTGCTGCTGCTGCTGCCCGACGAGCATCCCGGCGGCCACCGGAGTGTCAAGAGTCAGGAGTTTGACGTGCTCCCGACTGTCCGTGGAGCTCTCAAGAGTTTCCGTGTACTTCACATTTTCCTTTTTGATGTCGCCTGCCACTGTCACTTCACTAGAGGAAATAGACATTGTTTTTATTCTTCACCTCAGATTCCTTTAGTCCGTCACCCCGCCTCGTTTCTGCCCAAGCTGATCAGGTTACCCGTGCGCCATGCGAGTGATATCGGGTGTCCTTGTAAGTGGATAGCTTTCCCCTTTCGCTCCAGCAGCGTGACTTCTCAGCCCGATGATTGGGGTGGGGGGGTTGGACACACATGATTGGCTGCACGAAATTTCGAAAGGGGCGGGGAGAGCGCAGCTTTAGGGCTAAACCATTCAAATGAATCTGTCATTCAGTCGTGACGCGCTCCCGCAGCTCACCTGGTCTATAGGTGAGATTTCATTCGAGCTTTTGTGTGTGTGGCCGTGTGTTTACTCTGAGCTTACTCTGAACAGACTCAGACTGTTCATACAACACTTCAAACGATACAGACATTTACAAAAGGACAAGCTCTACCCCTCTGTTCGTTTTATCTCCGGTTAAAATGATGCATTTTGGTCTTAATGTCTCTTGAAAACTTAGTAAAAACTTATTTTCTAAAGTTATTGTTAATACAACCAAACAAATATATATATCTAAGAAAATTAATAAGGTGAAATAAAAGGAAAGATGGATGATAAATTGAGATAACCATCTAGCATCCATCCATCCATCCATCCATCCATCCATCCATCCACCCACCCACCCACCCACCCACCACCATATCTATCCATCTATCTATCTATCTATCTATCTATCTATCTATCTATCTATCCATCTATCTATCTATCTATCTATCTATCTATCTATCTATCTATCTATCTATCTATCTATCTATCTATCTATCTATCTATCTATCTATCTATCTATCTATCTATCTATCTATCTATCTATCTATCTATCTATCTATCTATCTATCTATCTATCTATCTACGATTATAGTCTATGGTTGAAAAACTCAGCGCTGGACAGAGATCAAACTTGAGCAATGTTTGAATAGGAACGGGATACTTACACGTACATGTTTCATTCAGGACGAATTTGAATGTAACACAGTTGTGCGCTCTGTTGTGAGCTGCAGAGTGTGTCGATTGCTGTTATTTACTTTTTATTTTATTTTTCTAACGTACTCTAAGAAGTAATAATAATAATAATAATAGCAATGGATGATCAGGGATGCCCGAGGTGCAAGACGACTAAATACAGAAATCCATCTCTGAAGCTGATGGTCAATGTGTGTGGACACACGCTGTAAGTAACGTTACCTGCTGTCAGATTTCTACTTTAACCTGTACAGATCTTAAACCTTCATATATCCAGAAGTGAATCTTTTCTTAGTATTATTATTTGCATCTGGTTCGTTTTTGCTTGTGTATGTGCTCTAAGTTAACCAGGGCAGTATGTCAAGCTGTGAGTGCAGTAAGGTTAAACCGATGTTTTTACGACTTCTAACTTATGTTGCTCATCTGTTTGCGAGGCACTCCTTCAAAAAAAGTGTCCATGGTTTTAAACCATTAAACGGTTAATGCTTCTACTAAAACCATAATAATTTAACATACAATGTCCTTCAAATAGTATAGTGTGTTATACTATTTTGATGTGCATGATCATAGATATAGTATAAAAACGCACAGTTTCTTAACAATAGTCTTAACAATAAGTAGCAACTATGGTATTTTTGCGAGAATAGTTTTCATGAAAAATGTGTTGAAGTCACCAGGAAACCAAAATGGACCATTCTTGTTTTATGGAATATTGCAGTAGGCCTATTCATTATTAAATAAAAAATCCACGTCTTTTAGATAATCTTTATGTAATGATTTAGAATGCATGTAAACTGACATCTTTTCAACATCTATTTGACATCTGACAGGAAACGTCCTAAAGACGTATTGCAGATGAGCAAACGCTCTTAAAAATACGTCTTCCAAATGTAAACATCACATCAAATAAACTTGTTCTATCTGGGTATGCATTTCATGCTCACATTAAATAATACAGACAACAAAATAGATCAAACTAGCCATTTGGATCATGGGAGTAGTCATTCAGCCACAGACAACTGAACAGAAAGGGAGTAGTGTGTGGATCTCATGGGTGATGTGTGTCTGAAGACATGTGGCTCCTTGTGCTGTGGGTGTCCTTGACTTGTAAGGATTCACAGTGGACTGCTGCTGACCTTGGACTCAGAGACTGTATGAATATATTACACACTGATGACACACTGCTGGAGACAGTCCAGCACACACTCCCCTGCTCATTTCATGAGAGTTTACCTCTATACAGAACATAATGACTGTACCTAATATGATTAAATGCAGTTGAGAGAGTGGAAGAAGATATTAATACTGGTGTTTCTTTCGAGTGTTGCTCGAAATGAAGCATTAAGAAAAAAATGCTTTCTGACAAAGTTCTTTTCATAAAGTACTTTAGATATTTGCCATGTTTAAAGGGTATTCTCGCTCACATATTAATCGTCTGGTGTCTTTAAAGTCCCCGTGAACCGGAAGTTGCAAACGATTTTTCTCCAGTGCTGTGACGTATTTCCAAGTGAAACGGAATATTGAACAGAGGGCAGGGTTTTACTCTAGCGCTCCTCCTCTCCATCTCTCGCTCATAGCAAACTAACGGTTTGAGGGGAGTGGTTAAGCGTTTCCCCACCCAAGTTGTGAAACCTACGTCATCAGAAAACGAAACCGTTCCAGACCGGAAGTAAACTTTTCAGATTTTGATTAAAGATTACCAAGGTAAAACATTTTTTAAATATATTTTTACTTGCACGGATTAATTGTTCACCACAAGACTAGTAATATGCGCTAACAAAGTAAATAGGTTCAATTTTGATTTCACGGGGACTTTAAAGCCCGTTGAAGCTGCACTGAAACTCTAATTTGGTCCTTTAGCCGTTTGGTTCCCAATGAAGTCCATTATATGGAGAAAATCCTGAAATGTTTTCATCAAAAACCTTAATTTCTTTTCGACTGAAGAGAGAAAGACGTGGACATCTTGGATGAAATGGGTGTGAGTAAATTATCAGCAAAAGTTTTTTTTACAAGTGAACTACTCCTTTAAAGAAACACGTGTTTGTGACTCTTTAGCTGATCCTGAGTGTGTCCTTCTGGCCTGCTGCAGTGAAGAGGGAAGGGCACAGGTAGGTGTGTGTGAGAGATAGTTGATGAGAGGGACACAGGTAGCTTGTGTGTGTGTGTGTGTGTGAGAAATGCAGTGGTTGGCAGATTTTATGTGTGCGTGATGGGGTTAGTTGTGCTGAGTTAGAGGAGTTTAGTAACCTCTCAACATGCTGACAAACACGGATCGGGAGAAGAGGGACGAGCAGGGAATGTCTAGCATTTATTCACATGAAAGTGTGTGTTCTTACTGTTTTGCAGGCTTTTTGAGCCAGTTCACTCTCTCACATGCCCACCTTATTCAGGTAATGGGTCAGGGAGAAGTATAGAGTCTATACCCTCTAAATTAATTTGGAAGTAAATAATAGAGATTCTTCAGGGAAAACCCAGGGCCTTAGGGCAGACATCAGCTGAGCCATGGTGTTGCATGATGCAATGGTTAATACACACATTCCTGACACTTTGAGGTTTACTGCTCATGTAGGTTTCACATATTCAGGTCTGTAATGTGTTTTGATCCCATTTCATGTATCAAAAAGGTGTGTAAGATTTAAATGTTTTTATTTTTAAGTCTCTTATACTTACCAAGGCTGCAATTATTTAATCAAAAAGAGTAATATTATGAAATATTATTATTACAATTTAAACATTATGTTGTGTTTGGGTCACTCATTTTGTTCTGAGCATGTTATTTTTTTCCGCAAATGTTAATGTTATCGCATGGGACTCAAACTTACAGTTTTTGCTCAGTCCTAAAATCAAACCTCTTCTAATTGAAAGAAAACTATTTAAGTTGACAAAAAGATTTGAATGAAGTTCAATGCGCAGGTTCGGGAGGAGCCTAAACATTCAGTCCTGTCAATCATTACACAGTAGACACCACGTCATCTCATTGACAAATTCTTCCTCCCCTTCTCCTCTAGTAAATGATCTCTATCCCTTTTATGCGCAATTCCATCATAGGGGGTTTCACTCGGAGCTCAAGCCAAGCCTTGGGTTCGAGCCTCCTGAAGGCTGAATGGGCAGACGAAATAGTGAATCAGTATATTTGGTGATAATATTAGGATGAGAGATTTATAAGCAATAGTCATTTTTGACTGTGAACACCACAAGTGTAACTTTATTCTATTTTGTACAAAATAAAGACATTTTAAAACAAACTTCCTGGTTAAACATTAAAGCACACCAGTGTGATAAACAGTGCAAATTTTGTTGAATATTGACACAATTATCTAAATTTTTTTCACTCAAAAATGGCATAATCTTGAATGAGGCATACGTTGAAAGAAAACAAGATTTAATCCAATATTTGATGATAATATTGCATAAGTGATTTACAAGCCATTTTTAGAAGGCTGGTCATTTTTGTCCAGGAATTAATAATTTAGTTTAGCCTATTTTAAAATGTTACTCCTGTGTTGGAAAAGCTGAATTATCATCAGCCATTACTTCAATTTTCAGTTTCACATGATCCTCCACCTTCTGATATCGTTTTTATATTCTGATTTGATGCTCAAGAAACTTTAATTTTTATTATCAATGCTGCTTTTTAGTTTTGTGGAATTCTTTGATCAATAGACAGTTCAAAAGAACAGCACTTATTTGAAAAATATTGTTTTTGTAAAGCTGTCAATATTACTTTTGTTTACTTTTTTGCATCCTTGCTAAATAAAAAATAATTAAATTCATAAATAATTATTAATCTCCAACTTTTGCATGGTATTTTTTTTATCAATTTTATCAAAACATATTTTTAAATGAATGTTAGATTTTTTGAACATTTCTTTCTATTTAATTTCCCCTCTATAATCTTCTGTTCACCAGCAAAGATCGATTGCAGACAGTTAGTCCATTGTGTTATATACACTCCCTGTAATTTTTTTTGTCTGGCACAAATCAGATTTTCAAAGAGCAAAGTATTTTGAAAGCTGACAGAAACAGAAGGGGGAATGAAAAGGAAAGTTAAACTGCTGAGTGGAAAATTTGTTTACTAAATATTTAAGAAATCTACTTGAAACTCAGCATTAGTTATATGCATAAATTCTGGGCAAGAAGTAACATTGGTTTCTAAGACACTCTGTACTTTGTC